ATTCAGTTCATTAAATACTACGGAACTCATTTCGTGACGGAGGTAACATTCGGAGCAAGATTCACGAAAAACCACAAAGTCAGTCAAACAAAATATGAAGAGCTGAGAAGCAAGAAAGTAAGCGTTGAGGCCCAAGCCAGCTATTCAGGGCTCTTTAGTGTTGGAGGGGGGTTTTCAATGGATAAAGAGCAGAGATCTGCGGCTTCCAATTTTCAGAAGTCAGTGCAAACAAGCACCATCACTGTAGGTGCAGCCCCTCCTAGTAACGGTGATGCCTTGACATGGGCTTCTTCTGTCCAAGAGAATCCGGTGCCAATAACATACTCCCTGTCCGCCATCCACAACCTGTTTACTGAGAGATATTCCAAGCATCTTCCTGGAGTTAACATAGGTGTTGTGAGAGAGAAGCTGATTAATGCATCCACGAATTACTGCCAGTCTTTGAAAGACCAGGGACTGGTAGATTCGTGCGATGACAGCATTCATCTGGGAACTTGTTTGCAAGGTGTTAGAGTTCGCCAATTTGGTAATTCTTTTAGATTTTTTAAGATATTGTTTTACAATGGCCCTTATGGTTGATTACGTCACACGAGCAAATTTCACCACCAAGCTTCGTTTCTAAGCAAAATTCTTCGCATTGTGAGTAAATGAGCGTGGGTATTCTTTTCAACTCCGCTTCCATCGAAATTTATTTGTGCAAAACTCTGCAATTTTAAAATTTCAAAACGTGGCAGGGTGGTGAAATTTGCTCATGTGACGTAAACATGCATGAGGGCTATTAAACAGGTCATGATTATTCAGTGTGTTGGGAGTGACAAACGCTGGTAATAATTTCTTGAACTTCTCCCAGGGGTTGCTCCGGATTTAAAGTGAAAGGGGCGAAAACCAAAACCCAGAAAAATCCCTGGGGTTCCCAACAAAACCCACAAAAATCCCTGGACTAAACATTGACCCCCAAAAACTCCCGTGCCGAATTTTCCAGACTTGAAATTTCCAGAAAGCATTAAATGCCTGATTAAGTGATGTAGGCCGAAAAACAAAACGTTAGAAGTTGAATTTTTATGCTTGCTTATACCAGCCGAAGTTATTAAGAACCTTCAGATTGTTTCAACCCCAAAAAATCCCTACTTAAATCAAGGCACCCCAAAAAATACTTGCCAAATTTTCTTGCTCCAAAAAATTCTTCGATCATCCCCGTCACTTGAACTTCAGAATATCCCCCCTGGGGAAATTCTCCGTGTCAATTATGCTCTTTTTTTTTAGGCTATAGGCATTTGCCAAACGTAGATGAGACTGAGTGTAGAGCTATCTGCCTTCTGGAGGAAAATTGCGTTGCAGTTCAGTTCACCTTCCGGAGGGGGTGCAAGCTGCTCGACACGAAAGGAAAGTTTCAAGTTCTTACCGATAACGCAAAATTGTCGAAAACAGTCGTGTTTCTGCCGAGACTGCAAAGAGAAAAGAAGAACTTTATTTTGTATCAACTCAAAGTCAAAGCAAATCAGCAACGCCGTGCCGAACTGAAGGCCTCTAATAATACACAGTGTGCTTCCTCTTGTTCAAAAGATGCCTTTTGTCAAGCTTTTGTTATGTGTAAACCTGCGCAAGGAAGTTGGTGTGAGAAAGCTAAGGGCAACTGCCTGTTGTATTCCAAACAGCAAATAACAGCTGTTGAGAAAGATTCCGATTCCGAGCTGCATTTTGTTTGGAAAAATTACACTCAAGTTACAGAGACGTAATCAGATAAATTCTTAGACAAGCCAAAGAAATGAATATAGTCTGGATATCCTTTTTTTCATTTGTGTTTTGCATCGTTAAGTTTTTCCTTAAATTATGGATAATTCATTTTCTGATCTAGAGAAAAGGTGAGAATTTTCAAGCTAAGCATATCAACAACTATTTAGAGTATTCACTTAGCTAGCGGTAACTCGTTATTTTCAACCCACTTCTCATGAGATGAGACACTTCGTTTGCTTGAGATAAATGTATCACAACAAGAGTGTTTTATTACAATTTCTCGAAGACTTACTGTTACTTTTTATTGACTCTTTTTTTGCTTATATTATTCTAATGAAACCGCGCCTGGACATGTTTTTGACTAATTTCATTATTAAGACTACTATGTAGTTTTAGCCAACCATAAAGGCGAAGCTTTTCGTTGTACACTTTAAAGTTACGTAAAATAATAAACGTTTAAACTTTGCAAAGAAATCCACAAATTTATGATTAACTTTTCATCAGGCCTACAAATTTTTTACGTTTCAGGGAGGTGCCGGGCTGGGTTATACATGAAAGGGAAAATCTTTCTTGACACGCTAACGAAACTCTCTGGCGCACGCACTTCTAGCTTTTTGGCTGTTTCACTCCGTTTTTTTACCTTTTTCCCCCACTGTGGAGCCTGGGGCCCGTTTCTCGAAAGTCCCGGTAACTTTACGGGCCCGAAATCAAATATTCAAATCGAAATATAAAGAATAAGAGCGCGGGCCCTGGCTAGCAAACTACTCCATTTTGTTTCATTAACTGACAGTTTTATCGTGTTAGATGCAAAACTATTGAAACCTCGATCTTTAATGTAAACAGAGACAGCTTACCGGGCCCGTTAATTATCGGGACTTT